AGGACCGCGGGCCCGGCCCACCGAGCAGCATTAAGAAAACCCCTCCGTCATACGATAACTTTCAATATTTAACTTGTCATGCAATAGTGGAAGAACAGTAGATGTTGACACGAAATGCAGGAACAGAAAAGGCAGTAATGGGATGAAAATTCTACTACATATTGCTTGTTTGACTGATATTGTTTTGTTATTTTTGTTTACACTTAAAGTGAGTAACAATTGTGTATACGGTTAAAACCGGGCCTACCCGATTGTACTATTCGATGGAAACCACGAAATTGCATCGAGGATCAGCCTCGTGACGGATCAGATCGAGGTACGAGGATAGGACACCGAGTTCGAGGACCGAGATATCTATTAAAGATCAAGGCTGGTGGCGATCGAGACTAAATGAGACGGACATCGAGCAAAGCACAATAACAGAAAGGCGAGATATCCGTGACTAGCCGAAGATCATGGCGTAAATCTCGGAACAGATCAAATCAAGAGTGGTTATTTAGTTAATCATGGGATTTACTTCCGTAATTAGAACTGTACCATAGATAGGATTGCTCTGCTATATAAAGAGGGCTCTAATCATTTTCTAACCAGCCCATATTCACCATATCAAAGAAATATAACACTTTCTAGCTTATATTCTTGTTCATCAGCTTGTTATATCTTTTACTATTATTGCATTAACCTGTTCGAGAGCATCCATGATCCAGAGCTTAATTACGTTGTAATACCAGTTTGCTTTATTTTATTGTCAATTCGCATCGTTAATCTTTACATTTATCAATTAGTATTATGTGAAATCATGTATCCTTAAAACCACATTATAAGTTTAATTGTTATCCAATTTTTATGGTAAACAGTTTGGAGCCCACCGTGGGGCTAAAGATAATAGTGATTTCCTAGTATTAATCCTCATAACACACACTGCTTGTACGCTTGTTCTCGTAAGTGTCTTTGATTTCAGGAATCAACATGTCAAACTCTCAAGCAGTGCCCACTCACACAGACACCGACCTTGGTCTTCATGGAGAGAACGAGAACATAGTCGTCCCAGGAAACGGAGTACCTCCAGTCAATCCCGATGGACCACCGGCCATATATCCAGTCGATGTCAGCTCGTGTGTTGCCGTTCATGAAAATTTAGGCGCCGACCCTGAAAATAGCATCCGCAGAGACGCCTGGGCAGCCAGCAGAACGCACAGAGTGGTGAAGAAGGCCGCATTAGCCTTCGAATGATATTTGAAATTTTGCAGACTCAGCAAGCTGCGATAGCACAACTCCAAAATCAGAATTGAGCACCGAGCAGAATTGAGCTCGATACATCACAGGAAGTTATTCATAGGGTCAAACCTATACCGAAAAAATCGAACGATAATGGATCGGAAACTGACCCCGCCATCATGAAGATGCTCGAGGAGCTCACTAAACAAATCGAATCAGGAGAAAAGAAAATCGAGGCTAATGATAAAAAGGTAGAAACATACAACTCACGGGTTGATCAAATACCGGGGGCACCCATGATTCTAATGGGTTTGGATTCGAAGAAGTTCGTACAGAAGCCTTTCCCACCAAGTGCGGCTCCAAAGCCCATTTCAAAGAAGTTCTGCATGCCAGAAATTCCCAAGTACAATGGAACCACTGATCTTAATGAGCATGCCACTTCTTATACATGCGTAATAAAAGGAAATGACTTAGAAGATGATGAAATTGAATCTGTTCTGTTGAAGAAGTTTGGAGAAACTTTATCGAAAGGGGCAATGATATGGTACTATAATTTGTCGCCCAATTCCATCGATTCCTTCGCCATGCTTGCCGATTCGTTCGTGAAGGCACACACCGGAGCAATAAAGGTCGCGACTAGGAAGTCGGACCTCTTCAAAGTGAGAAAAAAGGATAATGAAATGCTTAGGGAATTTATATCTCAGTTCCAAATGGAACGCATGGACCTACCCCTAGTCACCGATGATTGGGTTGTCCAAGCCTTCACTCAAGGTTTGAACGAGCGAAGTTCGATAGCAACACGACAACTAAAGCAAAATTTGATTGAATATCCAGCTGTGACCTGGGCCGATGTACATAATCGATACCAGTCAAAGATCAGAGTCAAGGATGATCAGTTAGGATCCCCTTCCGGTTCCGTTTACCCGAATAGATCCGAAAGCAAAACTCAAAGAGACATCGGCAGAGAGCACAAATCAAACAGATATCGGTACCAACCATACAACGCAGATCGTAGAGATAACAGACAGGGGCGCAATCCCATTCGGAATGATCAAAGGAATGATTAAGGACAAAGCTCCTGAGGGCTCATAAGTAAGAGTGGCTTCGATAAACATGTCGATCCCAAAGAAGCGCCACGGTTATCAGAATACAACTTCATCGTCGATGCATCAGGGTATTGTATCGGTCGTTAGATGAATCAAGGATACTAGATGGCCCATACCCCTACAGACTGATCCAGCTCAGAGAGACCCTAATCAAATGTGCAAATACCATGGAACCCATGGTCACAGAACTGAAGACTGCAGATAGTTAAGGGATGAGGTAGCCCTTTTGTTTAACTAGGGTCATCTTTGAGAGTTCCTCAGTGATCGAGCTAAGAATCACTTTAGAGAAATGGATGCAAATAGAAAAAACGAATAGAAAGAATCACAGCCCGTGATTCATATGATCGTTGGTGGGGTCGATGTTCCTCAAGGCCCGATATTTAAGCGCACCAAGGTGACAATCACAAGGGAAAAATGTACCCGGGACTACTTACCAGAAGATACCTTATCTTTCAACGATGAGGATGTAGAAGGGATCGAACAGGCTCACAATGACGCGCTGATAATATCTATCCTTATGAATAAAATTCAAGTTAAGCATGT